GACACTTGGCTGAAGTGTCGGATGCGACTGACATTGGACACTTCAGCAGACAGCTGAAGTGTCCAATGTCACTGACATCCGACACTTCATACCACATACCTTCATTGAGTACCCTAAAAAATTATATAGAGTATAAACTCTCCTGGTTTTTGCCACAACGTTTAGGGTTTAGGGTTTGGATCATGGCTCTGAAGTGTCCAATGCCAATGGCATTGGACACTTTAGTTTGTGTTTCTTGAAGCCACACACATACTATCATTAAATACAAAAACAGTAACTAAACTCTCGCGATTTTTTTCCCACAACGTTTAGGGTTTAGGGTTTAGACCATGGCGTTGAAGTGTCGAATGTCAATGACATTGGACACCTTATAAGTCATTCTTCATCACCCCCCCCCCTTCACCCATTCATTTTTAAGCACAGAGGGCGCACATCCTGGACACTCCAAACTAACTTCCAGAAGCGGGCACAAAGTGTCCGATGTGAGGTGGCATCAGACACTTGACAACCAGTAGGCCATGGGTTCAAAAACAATGGTATCCTTGGACCAAAACTCTCACCCCACATGATTCATGTGAGGTGTCCAATGTGAGGTTGCTTCCGACACTTGAACAGCATTTCTTAAGGGGCGTGTAGGGTGTCCATTTTTCTTTCCCCCCCACGCTGCCAAGTGTCCAACACCATCCCCGGCAAGAAAGAAGACTCACGAGGTCTTACTCACTCCAGTGTACAAGACCATTCTTAGTCGTGAATATGTGAACCATGAGCTTCTATTCATGTGAAATGAACTGTCCAGTACAACACTTGCCTGGTGTCCTGGAGCCTTTCACAAACAGTTTAAAGGAAATCTCACTCAGCGCCGTCTCCGACGATGGTAAGCTGGGTCTGGGTTAGCTTTAGCAATCGCCCGCTCTGAGATTTGCAATGCCTCCGCCCACGGAACACCGCTCGTCCATGCGGTGGCTGCCGCTTGAAGAACAATTGCCCTGGTGGCACGGTCAATGTACTGCTTGGCATGCTTCCGATCTTCCTTGCCATGAGCCAGCCTGAGGTTTGTCCCAAAAAACAATACATGTGCGACCCCCCAATCGATCCCAGCGCTGATTGCGATGGGCATTGGTGGTTCATTTCTACCGGAGCGCCAACAACTCCACCTTATGGCATCATTGGCACTCAACAAATGCCCCGCTTTTAATTTAGCCCTCATCCACAAATTGCCTTGAAGTTTTGTTTCTATGTACACCCTCTATTGGCTTGTTTAAGTTACCACAGGAAAACGAACCCTGACAAAACAAAACAAACCTTTCTCGGTTGGCCAAAAGTCTTCAGCTGGTTTGGCTTTGGCGCAAAAGAGCGGACCCGATTCAGCACTGAAGGGGCAACGTGGACGCCGGAGCTTCCGCCGTAATTGCACCTGACACCCCAAACTAATTGTCTAAAGCCCACAAGTCAATATTGTGGCGTCCTGCGAACCAAAGCATGTTGAAAGTAAAAACAACGGCCTCTAAATGGATAAGGAAATCTTATTTGGAGTGTCACGCCCCCTAAAATGATTGACTGATGGAGGGTTCACTTCAATCTGGAAATTCCTGACGGACCCCACCAAGTGCCCGAACGGAGGCACAAGACTTGGAAAAAGGCTCAACGGAAGAGGAATTTAGTGTATTCTTTTCAGAAATCGGTGACAATAAAGCTTTGTATGACTGCTTCCCATGAACGCTGAAATGTCCAAAGCCGGCGCCAATGCCAGTGTGCCGCCAACCCACTGCTCTAAATGATCAGCTGCTTTCTCGAGGCCATAACTCCGCAAGATGGGAATATGCTTGCGGATATGGTCAACGTACTCTGATGGTATGGATCTCTTCGGCGCAAAGCCTACCACAAGAATCGCTGGCGACTGCATGGAGAACCGATACTTACAAGCTCACAAGTTTAGTGGTGTACATGAAAAACAACCCTTTTAGAAACGCACGAACAACATATTGAAACCTGCTAGCTGACTGTGCCAAGAGCGGTCGAACAAACACAGCAACAACATGTCCGAGATGTTCCCGAATAGTCTTCTTTGAACAAATGCTTATCATTGTCAACACAGATTTCAATTTGCAAGCCTGTCGGCAAGCCAGACGGCAGAAGCTTCAAGGCTATTGATCTTGGATACCAAAGCTGGCATGTACTGTAGTCGAGCTCATGCGTGTACTGCTTTGTCCTTGGGAAACTATCGCTGGCATCAAGGAAATGCAACCAACAACTGGAGGCCAAAACAGGTTTTAAACGCGCGCGTCAACTGACAACATATCAAATAGATCAAATTAGATCAAATAGTAAACTGTACATCCATAAAGGAATCACAGCGGCCGCAAAACAACATCTTGCCCATGCTCCTCTCCAGGCTGCAGCTTCCAGAAGGGGTCGGAGATTTGGGCTTCATTCAATCCTCAGATCGCGCAAGCACCTTGAAACGTCACGCGAAAACGCTGGGAAAACATCTGAGCCGGCATGAGTTCTTTGGGTCTAGAGTCTAGACATTTTGGATCCAAACAATACATTCCTTTTTTTATATATAGAATAACGACGACCTCTTTCCCGCAACATCAAATAAAAAATGTCTTACTGCCAGGAACCTAAAGATTCTCGAGTCTGAAAGGAAAATTCATGAGGTGCTCCAGGGCCTCCGATCCCTTGCAGCGCTATCGGGACGCTCGCCGACAAGAATCCTCTCCTTAGTATGCAGGTGGCTCCACACAAAGGACCAAGTCCTTCTGTTCAAAAACTCACAGGATACCTCTCCCGACGCTAATGTTCCACTTGTATTGGCCTGCGAAAATTGACCCCCACAAGTCCGACTTTACCCCTTTAAAACCTGCATTTCAGGGAGCTCGAACCGGACTTGTGGGGGTCAATCCAAATGGAAAATTGCAATCTCCCGAGGCGAAACACTGATTGAGCGAGCTGCGAACGCTTCCGAGCTATGTTCCGGTTTCCGAAGCCTACAACGGAAGGAATCTAATCCTTCCGGTGGGTGATTGCCTGGTAGGTGGTTTGACGGCTTCACGAACAGGCACGCGCCTATACCAACAGTGATTCATCAAGAGAAAGAACTCGTCAAAGATTGGGTCAAAACCAGTTTAATGCAATGGTGTAAATGCCAAGGGCAATGATTAATACCAAGGGCGGGCAGGGCCAGCCAAACGCGGGACTAGTGACGGACAACACGGCGAAGGCTACTGCCAATTTTCCACTTTAGTTTGGGCTATGAAAGCTACCGAGGCACCAATCCCTGTGCTGATCAAGATGCACGACACATCGAAGTTTCTCAAACGGTCGCTGAGCTCCATCTGCAAAGCGTTGAATAATTTCAAAGTCTGAGGGAGTTTCAGCTTGCCGAGAATGCTTCACTAAATAGAGCGCTAGGGATCCGAAAATCTGGTCCAGGTCTTCGTGACTGTGACCGCTTCGCAAGTGAGCGAGCGTCGCTCCTTTCAAAACGCCAGCGCTCACGAGGGAACTCAAGAACCGCAGAGTCGTGCAGTTTTTGAGTTCCCTCGTGGTGTTGTCAGCCTGAATGTGTAGATGGAGTCTCGCCAAGTTGATGCCAGCCGCTTTAAGGCGAGTCAACAGATGGGCCAGAATCTCCACACACGAGGAGGCATCTTTGGGATGATCGTGCCCTGATGTTGCAAACGTCAAAGCAAAGCCATGTGCTAGGCACGCGCTCACGTGCAGTCGAGGCCGTTGCATATTGGTCATGTCCTTCGAGCGACACACGGCGCTTCTCGGGTACATGAATTTGCATTGATCCATGCCATCGATCATCACCACCAAGCTGGTCTCAACATGTAACCGAGACTCTCCACGGAGGCTCCAATACCTCAAACGATCCCGGTATTGGGATGTGAGGTGTTCGGAGTATAGTTGGCTTTGGCGTTGCCGTGCCAACATGTGCTGCGAGAGCTCTCGGATTAGGAGCTTGTGTCGAACGCACTCAGCGCACTGCGC